CTCACGAGCTTGGTTGGGTCCGTGGATTGCCCCCGGTATTGCCCTAGCCGCTCCTGCCTCCAGCGGGGTGGGTCCCCGTATCACGGAAGATCTTGTACTCGTGGTAGAAGGGCATGGTCCCGAAGGCGCTGGACAAGTGGAAGCGCTCGAAGTTGTGGTAGAGGAAGAGGACTCCTGCGGTGGCTGGCCTGTCACGGGCGGAGGGACCAGAGCTGCAGGAGGGCTAGCAAAGGCCCGCACCGGATCTGTGGCAGCTGCATGTCGGGGGGCATCCCCCAAAAAAATCGTCAAGGAAAGCTTGAACCGGGTCCTCCCCCGCTTGTACTGGTTGTGCGTCAGGAGTGACATGTTGGTCCCGGTGTCTGCGCTCTCTTCTACGGCCACGGCTCCTGGAGCGGCTTCGCCGTCGGCGTCTTTGGCGCTCTCTATCTCGTTCGCGGTCCCGGTCTCGGTGTGTTCCACCGGATCTGCTTGCTCGGCCTTCCATATCTGCCGAGTGGGAGGGACCGCACAAGGTTCCCTGCTAACCACCACGATGGCACGGATATTAATCTTGATGTCGTTGCCCAAGTCACGGACAGGTAGTAGGTGGTGTGCGCGTTCGAGGTACTGCTCCCCGGGAATCGCCGGGAGGGAGAAGTACGTGAGTAGGTTCGCCGATCACGTTGACGGCGCTGTTCAGGACTTCCCTAAGGGTCAGGTCGGCAGCGGTCACCGTACGGGATCGTTGCACAACTAGGTCCGTGGCAGGAGCGATGTGCAGGGAGAACACACGGATATTCTTCACCGACTTCAGCAATCGCGGCAAGGCTCACACAATCTAGGCACCGGGTTTTGGATCGCAGGCCTCGCACAACAAATTTACAATCAGACAAGGAAGGGCAGTGCGGCCCTGACGTCCTTGAACCACTCGCGGCTTGAGCCAAAATGGCTACTCTCTCTCTCTCTCTCTCTCCCTCTCGCTTCCACCTTTTTCGCTCACTATAAACTTTAAACCCCACTCAGCTCTTGTGCGTCGGGTGCCCGAAACCCAGGGAGACGTGTGGCTACCCTCTGGGATTTGCTTTGCATTAGGCGCTTAGCGCAAGGCTTCGTGCAGCCCACAACCTGAACTTCATGCGTTTCACAGGAGACCCGTTACTGCCAGAGTGCGACCCCTTCGAACGAGCTGGGCAGTAACACTCTCGGCCAGTGAGAGTCTGCTTCAAGTCTCCAGACTCTCCGAGGACTCCGAAGTCGTCAGGCGGTCCCCACCGGCTGTGATCGTTGCTGCTTTTTGACAAGCCTCGAATCTTCAAAAGTGTGTCCACTCTCGAAACCACAAATTTGATTGTTTGGCACCTCGCCTTCTGCAGTTTGCTTATGCTTGCGTCCACAAGGCCCGGAAAGTTTCACTGCTTTTCGTCTGTGCTCGTATAACTCGCTGCCCAGCATCCAGAAGAACAAGTGTGCAACTCTGCTCAGATCAGGCATCCGCTACTCTACTCGCTCCTGAAACGGATGCTTGTGCCATGCGGCACTCGTCGTCGCTCTCTCCGTCTCTTCTTACATAGCCCTCAATCCCACAGCACTAATTCAAAAGATCCTGGTATATCAACTTTGCAGCTCAGGTACATCACGAAACCGAAACTTAACAAAGCGATCAAGATTTGGGGGGCAAGATTTCCTGATAGTCCGGTCCCCGAACTCAAAAGTCCCGCCTCGAATCGAACAGATGCCTGCCAAGCCAGTGCTACCAATGCATACTAGTCTGGCTGCTGAGGCGGTTTCTGAACAAATGCTGCTGCGGATGACTCGCGCTCTCTGTGTGTTTGGCGGCTTGACCACTAAAACAAGATTAGATCCGACAGCTGACATCCATGGGCTGAGGGGTTCGGTGTAGGTGCTATGGAGTTGAGCCTTGGTTGCACCAAGGCTTGGAGCTTCACACGTCAATGTCAGTTCACAAAGCATTGACGGTGACGGTGCCACGTCTTGTCGAACAGGATTCCTGCTGCCTATCAGAAGAACGGCTTTGGGGTGGCAATGTCGGGCCCCGAACAGTGTTGAAACCTGAAACAGCGAAGCCCACAATTCGCGCGCAACGGTCTCCTTCGAAGGCCTTCACAAGCCAAAAACAAGCTGCTTGCATCATAAAGCGTTAAATTAAACCCTTCTTGCAACTTGGACTTGAAAAGTTCAATTCTAGATCGGCGAGTCTCCGTTTGTCCGGCGGCAAAGGAGATCAGGTTGGCAACAGTTCCAATGCTTCATCCAATCACCTGAGTTTGCATAGGACTTTGACAGCACTGCGTGGCCGATTATGGAGCTTTCAACAACCAGCCAAACAACATCCCCCTCCCTCCCTAAGCCCTGTGTCCTTGACCTCCCCCCAGCTGTACCCCTCCCTTGCGACAATCACCCGATCATCACCCGGTCCTGGAGCAGCCGCGAAATAATCGTGCGACAACTGCCGTGCTTCATGGCTCATTCTCGTCTAGCCCATGAACGTTTCAATTGCAAGCTAAGCGACGCGACGGGACGTCTTCGCTTCGGCAGGCACTGGAGTGGGGGCGCCGGACACGAGACTCGCTGCATGTGACGCCTGTCTGGGATGCACACAGAAAGAAGCAGAGACATTGAGATGAAGAGAGACAGAGAGACATGGGAATGGAACTATCAGAACAGATATAAACACGGAAAGGCACAGGCGGATTGCGGAGAGCTAAGATAGACATAATGACATATAGGCAGGGAGATAGGTCGATAGGAGGAAAAGAGATAGGCAGGTATTGAAGCGCACAGATGGACAGCTGACGTAGTGTTATGATCAAGTCAAGACTTTTGAGTTCAGAATTGTGGGTGTGCCGAGATCAACGAACCGGAAGGCTTGAGGGTGTGATTGCAAACCTGCAGGAGAACCTCCAGGCTCAGAGACCCGAGACGGCAGAAAGTATGACCTGTCCTTACATCTACATAACAACACAATTATCATTTTCGACAATGCTCCAAAAACACAGACCCAACACCGCCAAAAACCTAATCTAATTCTTAGCAGCTTTACAGCCGGGGCGTCAGAGCTGGGCAAACTGCCTTTGCCACCGGCACACGTGGGCTGGGCGCAAGGAAGGTCCTTTGTCATGAACCGGGATGGTATTCTTCCATGGCCACTATGACAATTTGGTGTGACCGTCATGCTTCGTGGCACTAGGTACTCCAAGCATCTGCTATAACAACGACTAGTGACAACTAGTACCGATGACAACAATCACAACGGCGATAGGTGCGATACGAAGATGTACGTATATTATGCAAGACACGTTTTCAATGACTATCCCCATGAATAACCAGAAGATTGAAACACTGAGCCCTGCTTGACTTGTCCACTGCAACATGAGCCGTAAAACTAAAACCACAATGAACCCACTAGAAAATTGCGGCTAATGTTGACTCTTGATTAAGCTAGTATTAACACGCGCATGATGAACGGAAAATCTATCACAAATGACGGCGACGCCCACCACCACAACAACCACCATCGCCACAACAACCATAACCACAGCCACAACCACATCAACAACCACCACCCCCACCACCACCACCACCACCACCACCACCGCAACAAACAACAACAACTCCTACTACTCCTACTACTACTACTACCACCACCACCACCACCACTGCTACTACTGCTACTACCACCACCACTACCACTACCACTACCACACCACTACCACTACCACTACCACTACCACTACCACTACCACTACCACTACGACGTCGACGACTACTACGACTAGGACGGTGATGACTAGCAATTATCATGCATGTATTGCCAAACTGGATCTTCCTTCGGTCAGCATTGGTTGTTTCTTGTCATGGTCTGTGCCGCAATCCAAGACCAAAGCCTTAAACCCTTGAAGCAGCTCCTCACCCTTCTAGAAGAAACCGGGTTCAGCTTTTGCCACATTATATGACCTGCGGCATCTAGAATTTTTGGGGGTTCAGGCTTGTCCGAGATCCACTTCATGCGTATGAAATTTGTTCGAGTCGAGCAGTTCAAGGTGTGGGGATGAGGGTTTGGGTTTAGGGTTTAGGGTTTAGGGTTTAGGGTTTAGGGTTTAGGGTTTAGGTTTAGGGTTTGAGGATTTTTTTGCGGGTCGAGGGTTTCCAAGGCAGACAACGGGCTCCTTGGCGAGATCATGGCTAACCTCCGAGGAGTCAAAGTCGGAAATCTTAGACGCCGGGAGACTTTGAGGGTTTAGGGTTTAGGGTTTAGGGTTTAGGGTTTAGGGTTGACCACCAACCCCAAGGTTTTAGGCGTTCGGCCCCTTGAGATACGATCCTTGCAAAACCCGGGTTTTAGGAGCCCTTAACCCTTTACCCTAAACCCCTAACCCCTAAACCCTAAACCTAAACCCTAAACCCTAAAGAGTGCCAACCCTGAACTCACCGCTCCCAGGCCATCCATCGCCGTTGCTCGGTTCCGGTGGGCCTTTGTTGCATCCTGGGTTCGGTGCTCGGAAGCGTGGGAAGTTTCGGGTACTAGCTGCCCTTTTTGTTTTTGCTTTTGTCTAGGGCTTGGGGGTTAGACTGTAGGGTTCGCATACTTTTTGTGAGTGGGGGATCTGTGCGATCCGTATTCTTCCTTTTCTCTTTATCTTGGTATTGTAACAATACCAGCATGTTACGCAAACCAAGGGCACGACACTGCTTACTGCATGATGTTGCGAACGCAGCCGTACCTGTGGTGATAGTGACGCTGAGAACGACGACGACGACGGTGGCGGTGGTTGTTGCGAAGTCATGGAACATTTCATCGGGAAGGCTTGTGTATGTGCTGACGATGCAGATGATGGTGATGAACCGGATTCCACTGAGGCGAGCGAGTGATGCCTGTGCTGGTGACTGAAGATGATAACGATAATGATGATGAGCATTCATGTTGAGCTGCTTTGAGACCTCAGCCCTTTCAACGCTTCGGTCTGCATAATGTCTAAGGAAACTCCAATGGCAGCAACAGCAATTAAAGATCTCCGCAAAGCTTACATCGGTCGCAGCAAATGGAAACATGCTCCAGAGACTGATATGATGGTTGTAATGAGGTCGGTTTTTCAGGGCTCGGACGTGACTTGAGAAGATTGGTTTTCCCTCAGCGGGCTTGAGCAGAGTGTGGCCATGTGGTCTCCAGGCCGGAACTTGAGGCTCTGCTCCCTTCGGCTGAGGCTACCCACGGCTACAGAAGGTCGTCGCCAAGCGGACCCTGATCACGGAGGACGGGGAGGAGGCTGGAAGCCTTGGGTGCAGTGCCATGTAGGGCTTTTCCTGGAGGATCTTTGCTAGTTGGAACAGGGATAAGGCTGGATGAGGGATGACAAGTGCCGGGATCGGAGGGTTTAGAGAAAGGGTTTCTGCATAGTATAGTTTAGGATGACTTCAACTTCAGGGCACACGGATCTTCGACTTTGGGGGTTAGGATCCATGCCGACGCAAGAAGACAACAACGGCTTCAGCCAGATGGGCTTCGGATATCATCGTGAGCACGGCAGGATGTAGCACCGTGTAGCACCAGATAGTAGTAGAGCATAGATTTTCAAGAGGGTATAGTACAGTACAATAGCATAACTCCGTGGAATATAGTATAGTCTTGGTGTAGACATGGTGGAACAGCTCAGCAAGCGAGGACAAGACGAAGCCGGATCCTCACCCCGAAACCTAACCCATGAATCCAGTCCCTATCACCAAAAGCCGCTGAAGCACTACAACCCTGACCCCGAAAGACAGTCCCTGTTCAGGGTTTAGGGACAGAGCCCCTAAACCATAAATCCTACACCCTAAATCCTAAACCCTAAACCGCTAAGCCCCTAAACCCCTAAACCCCTAAACCCTTAACCCTAAACCCCTAAACCCTGAACCCTAAACCCTAAACCCTAGACCCAGCTGCTAGGTCCCGGCGGGCAGGAAGGGCAAGCTCATCGAGCGGGCCTGCTGCTCAGGGGGCGACGGGCAATGTCATCGAGAAGTCGTGGAAGCGAATCTGACAGTCGCTGGCACACACCAGGACAGCAACAAGGGTGTAGGAGACACAACTAGTCACTACCTAGTGTGAGCGATTGGAGCAAGGATCGTTGCTTGAGAACATGGCGAGGGTAACAGCAGTGGCATCGTGAATAGGAGTATAATGTATAATGGTGATAGCCCGTGATTCTTTTTTCAGGATCACCGAGATTCCTGGGTTCAGTGATAGTTTCTGCCAGTGATGAGCAAGCACACAAACATGGCAAAACAAAACACCCTTGGCGATGAAAGCAGCGCGAGTTTTTGGCTACAGCCAGACGTTTTGTCATTTCCGGATTCAGGTTTTTGGAGACGGAGCTTTGTTTCCTTGCCTACTCCCGAGTGGGATGTAGACGAGCATCAACGGCAGCGGGCCCACAATCCCCAAAATGCTGATTGCGGCCTCTTATCTTGCCGGCGGGGCAACATGGGGTGGCAGATTACTTGGGGTCCGGCCGCCCGGATCGCCCTGCAACCTTGATGACCTGGAGGGGTGGTTGTATTTTGGGGCAGCATATTACTCTTCACACACAGCCAGCTGTCGAGAGTTCGTCAAACAAGTCCAGAAGAGGCACGACACGCGGCTGGCAGCATCATGTTGGTAGAGCGACGGGCGAACAGAGCCACAGCTACGGAATGCGTGGGAAAGAGGCAGCACGCCTATGTAGACGTTAGCAAGGGATAGAGGAAACTGCATGGAGGGCCCGCAGGCAGCAGTTCGGTTCAATCCCCCGTGGACATTGCCGTTGCTGGCTTCTGCCCGCTCAGGGCATTCGCAGCCGCAGGAGGTGACTCAGGACGCAGCATGCGGCATAGCTCACAACGGAAACCTGCCACCGGCGAAAACACGAAAACACGCGAAAGTCCCTGACAGAAAGCGCCTCCTGGCGCGGCATTGTGGCAGAGGCGGCCATGGCAGCTGACCTGCGACAGCTTTGAAATAAAGTCTTATTATTCCCGTGCTGAGAAAAAACGGGTGCCAGCAACACCGACTACAAATGGTAGGAAAACAAAGTTGGTCTCAGACGCACCTAATTTGGCAAAGATTCCTGTCTGTGTGGCATCAAGCTTTTTTGCTTCGCAAACCTCTGCAAAGAATAAGTTCAATGTAGCTACATCGTGGCTTCCAAAGGAGTATACCAATCGGCATCCAGAAGTAAGCTATAAGTTCCCACCAGGTATATGTCAGGAACACAACTCACAAGTAATACATAACATAGCTGAGCCGTTTCATAAGTATACTTACAAGTGCCTATTAGGCGACGCATGCAGCCCCTCAACCCTAAACCCTAAGCCCTAAACCCGAAACCCTAAAACCTGAACCCTAAACCCTAAACCCTACAACCTAGTAGCTCTCGAAGCCCTGAGGTAGGCAAGTCAAACTACGCGGTCGTGAAGTTTTCGCGGCACGACGAAGATGTGCCTCGGCTACCC